TAAATGATAACCGTTCACCATTGATGGTTATGATCAGGTTGTCCTTCTCATTCACCATAATTGGATCTTGAACAAATATGGAGTGTAAAGTTCGAATTGTTATATCAAATATATAATCTATAGTTGTTTCTTTCATCTTGACACTTTCACCAAACTTGGCAAGTTGTCTTATGTAATGAAAGCAGACATCCATGTGCTGTAATAACAAAGAGCATACATAAGTAATGTAAACTACTATGCATATGTGAAAAAATGGTGGCAATATTATACCGTGTTGCTCAATGATGAATTAGAATTGATCAACGTATGCCACCAAGTTTTATGGTGAACAGGAACATTGCCACACACAAATTGAGAACTTATCACATTATCTGCATCACCGAACTTTACCCTATACACACATGTATGCACTTATCAAACAAATAATGACATGTCACACTTTACACAAAACACTTATAATCTACATTTCATGTACCCGTTCTTGGGATTGTATCCTCTGTCAAACCAATTTTGGAATGAATTCTATCAACTTCCTTCGAATAAATTTGGAACACAACGTTTTTATATATAGATTTTGATCCAGTAGCGGCATGACGTGGATCCACCTTAACAAAAGTGATTCCAGAGTTTTTGATGGCTTTTGTGCTCTCTTCACAAGTAGTCCAAATGATGGAGGTGCAGGCGTATCTTCCTAATTCAAAAATATAAAAAGAAAGGTTTTTAAATTAGCGTATGACAATCAGTCTGAATTTATAATAAGAAATACTATATGTTTCGTTAAACTGACATCTTCGATATCACATTGAGTAGACTTCAACATGCGTGCAACAACCTCATCGACATGCTCCTGTACTTCTATACTAGCAAAGAATGCATCATCAGAGGTTTTAGGACTTTGTGAGTAGCTAAAACCTAGATCAAATGAAAGAGATTGGAGAACGTAGTCATCATGGAAGCAATGTGAAGACTCGGGTTCCATGTGACCTTTGTCCATTTTTTCAACCACATTATTACCTTTTGGCTCAGATTCCATATGACCTTGCCCTTTTTTTTCAACCACATCATCAATTTTTGGCTCTTATTCCGTCGAACCATCTTTTCCACTCAATTTCGTCTGAACTTTATCTATCATCGAAAATAAAATGTCAAACACAGATTCAACAAAAGATTTTAGAGACGACCTGATGTCATTTAAGCCATCTTTCAACACATTTTGATTCCGAATGACCTCATTGAGCTTCAAAAAACTGTTGGAATGACGCATTTTGTCATTCATGTCAGACAATTCTGACTTCATCAACAAAAGCTCATCTTTCAGCCCTTTGTTATCCACTTGAAGATTGATTATTTCCTCATCCATCAACTACTTCAATCGACCACATTCCTGAAAATTTTTGTAGTTAGTAGAATTATTTATAAAATGACTTCTTATGTCTGTAAAAAA